GTGACGTCACAAACCAGTAGGTGGCAGTAGTGTTCTTTGACAAACATGGATGCCTCCAGTAAAACACATTCACATGAAAATTACTCTTAATTAAAAACACTTTTCAATTATTGAACAGTATGGAACAATTTAATATTTAAAGTAATTTCAGAAGTTTGAATTCTAATTATAACCGGACTTTTCCTTTAATCGTTCTTTGAGTTATTGATTTATTTGTAATGAAAAGGATTATTTACCACAGCAGTAAATGTGAATTAGTTGGATCTAAGCTTTTGGTCTCACTTTGTGTTCAACAGTACATCCGGAGCTGCATCATGCTGGGAAGGATGCCCAACTTGATGCTGATGTCCAAAGACAGCCTTTATTCCCAGCTGCCCACAGACACCTTCACCATGCCGTCCTACGCCAGGCGAATTTCCACGGCGACGCCTTACATGAACGGGGAAACGGCCACCAAGTGTCTTTGGACGATCAGCGGGACGCTGAGGATCAGGATCCTCTGCGCTACCTACGTCAATGTAAACATCAGAGACATAGACAAGGTAGATATGCAGGGCGTTATCTGTGTTTATGTTTTATGTTTTTAGTGGTGTCTGTCCGTCTGTCTGTGTACAGGATAACTTGAAAAGTTATGAATGGATTTTAATTACATTTTTACCAAAGATGCACCTCAGTCCAAGGAACAATTAATTAAAACGTGGTAATGATCTAGATCAAATGTGATTCACAATATGGGGAAGAATTTGCTGCTTGGCAGAGGTCTGTGCTCTCACAGTGATTTGCTAGTTTTAATATATCTTGAGCAATAGAAACCTGTCTCTATCCTTTTAATTTTATTTTCTGTATTATTACCTGTAAGGAAGCCTTTAGGTTCATTCTTGTTTCCTGCTCTAGATCTACGTGAGGACCGGGATATACCACGGTGGGGAGCAGATGTGTGACAATGTCAACACTCAACGTGTGCCCTGCTCAAATCCACGGTAGGGAGGTGTGAAGAAGAGCAGCAACGTGATGGGGAATGTCGCGGGCTAATTAGCTTCTGCTTTCAGGTGGAACGAGTGGCTGAACTACGACATGTTCGTTACGGAAATCCCCAGAGCTGCTCGACTCTGCCTCTCCATCTGCTCCGTGAAAGGAAGGAAGGGAGCTAAAGAGGTTAGCAAAGACACACCAAATCCTAACGTCATCACTTGGTGACAAATGATTTAATTTAAAGTCTTTTTGTTGTATATTCTGAAAAAACAAAATATATATAGCTCTGCAATGAAAGACGATGCAAATGAGGATAAAAAAAAAAAAGAAGTGCTTTACGCAGTTTTGTAGTTATCATCAAGGTCCTGCTTTTCTTTAAACTTTAATGTCACCTATTAGCAAATATATAATGAAATAATCCTTCAGAACTACATTGGTAGGAAATATAGTAGAGATTGACACATACTGTGTTTTAAAGGGGAAGTTCGGTCAGCAAGGAATAATCAATGGATCATTATTTATTAGGGATGGGACGATTTATGAAAACCGTCCAAACCGTTCGGTTCTACTGTCTCGGTTCGGTTCGCGTGTGTTTCGTTCGGTTCATGCGCTGCTCCT